TTGTTTGCAATAGGCACTGTCTTGGAAGATGTGAACGAATACTAGGCTTATTGCCTCCATGCATGTACATAATGCATTTCCCCCACAACATGAGGTTACACGTGAAAGTAAATCCCGACCTTCTTCACTGCTGCTAAACTGCAGGGGGGGGTGTTATTTGGAACAGTGAGGAAAGGAGATACTTAGATTCCCTCCCTACCCGTTTACCGCAACGATGCACTTTATCTTGCACCTAAACGGTTTACGAGGAGAAAGCAGCGCGTTAAGCATGAATGCCAACCTCCTCTTCATTGCAAACAGCCTTTTTGACAGCAAGAGGCTTCACAGCTGGAAATATATTTAAATAGAAGCTTTTAAAACATTTGCATGCACACACAACCTGATACAGGAACATGGGATCGTCAGTGCGACTCCTAGGGGCCGAATTCACTTTCGCCCCTTCCTCCAATAAAATATTTGAAAGGGCTGCCCCCCCCCCGAAAAAGTTGATGAGCATTGCCATTCAAAAAGTGTGCGCGCACCGTGTCACGTGATTGATTATGCAGAGCAGGGCTCGCCTGCCCCCCACCCCACGCCCAATATTTTTTTCAAGTTGGCACCCCTGCCTGTGGCAGCACGCAGAGAAAGGCCGGGCTCCTGCGCTTTTGACGCTGGCCGTGCAGCATCGGTCCTCTTGCAAAGTTGAGAAAAGCGGCGCCTGCAGAAATCAACCCCTCCCGCCTTTCGGCACAACTTCTAAAAGCACGAGAGCCCTCTCCTCATGCATTGAACAGAGTTGCTTAGAAATCCACACGTATTGCGGGAGGAGGGGGAAAGCTGTGATCTCTTGGCGCCGAGACAACCTTCCTGGGATAAAGGGCCAAAGGGCGCAACCAGATCAGAGGGCGCACCTCGGGGGAAGGGCTTTTGTTTTGTTTTTAACCAGCGATTCCAGTCTTCAAAGATCTGCCGAGCATCCCCGCTGCCTCGCGTGCCCTCGGGGCAGCAGGGCAGGCGTTTGGCTTGGGCGGCCCTCGCCCGGCCAAGGAAACAGCTTCTCCTCAGCTGCTGAGCGAAAACACGCCGCCAGGCAGGCAGGCTGGAAGCGCTAGTGGCGCCTTGGGGGGCGCCTGTTGCTGAGGGAGCCGGCGCCTCGCTTTCGCCCCCTCCCCTGCGCAGAGGGGCTGCCCCTCCAGCCTCCTTTCTCTCCGCCAGCTGCCCTCACTCACCCGCGTCGTAGAAGGCATCCAGCACGGCCGTCTCGCCGAAGTCCAGCTCGCCAAAGTTGACGGTGCTGAGCTGGGCTCCCTCGGCCTCGCAAGCCCGCGCCAGGCACTGCAGCGCCGGCCTCGGGGCTCCGCGCCCCCGAGCCGCCCTTGGGGCCGTCGTTGAGCACGTACACCGCCCGCAGCGGGAACGCTGCGGGTGCGCGAGGGAGGAGGGCGGTCCCCGGGAGCTGGGAGAGCCGGGCTGCCGTGGCCGAGAGGGCTGCTCTGCCGGGCGCCGCTGAATATAACTAAAAATTTTCTTAAATTATTGGGGGGGCAGAGCCCCCCAATAAAATTTTTGAGGGGGCTCGAGCCCCCTCAGGCCCCATGGAGTCGGCGCCTATGGTTGGCTGCATCCATTTCCTGGGCCTGAGGCTCCCCACTTCTGCATTAGAGGAAGGCCACCTTTAGATCCAAGACATAATTGGTATCAAATAATTCTTTTTGCCAAGAGGAACATTAAATGGGCAGTTTATTTGAAACACACAACAATTGAGAAGTTTTTAAAAAATGCATTTGCCCACCCACAGATACCATCAATGTGGAAAATAGCCTTCATCATGAGCACTGTAAAGAAGGGCCAAGAGGAAAACAATTTTTCTTGCCTTAAAACAGTCTGGGCTCTATCTTTTTAAATCACTTTCCTGTGGCCTTATTACCTCATCTTTAAGGCACGATTTGCTTTAGCAAATCATTTGGAAAGGAGGTGGGGATATACTCTTCCTTATTCCTTTTCCATTACTATCACGAAGTAGGCCTTTTGAACAAGTAGTCCACGAAGGAAATGTTGCTTGCTGGGTAGACAGATGGTGGCTAGGCCTGGCATTTGCCTATTTCAGGTGTCACCAACCTTTTAAGATACATTTGGATTTTTGAGTGTGTATTATGGGTGCCACCCCATCTGGTCACTTCTCTTTTCCCCTCCCTCAGATCAGCTCCCCATGAAGAGAAAGTGAGATTTTATTTTTCAAAGGGATCTGGTTAAAGCTGGATCCGGTAGAATTCATCTGAAAAGTACAAAGAGCTTCAAGAGGAAGCGGGAAAGAGTGCCATTCTTTCTCTACAACATGACTCTACTCTATCACTTTCTCAAACAAAATTCACTACTTGTTTTACCACAATAAATTTAATCAGGCAATGCCATTATGGGTTCCTTAACTCTTTGGCATTACAAAGATCATAGCATGTCTCATAGCTATATAAGTGAGCAGCAAGGTAGCCAGATTTGCTGGTGGTGTCAAATTGTTCAGTGTGGGTTAAACAAAAATGGATTGTGAGCTGCTCCAAAAGATCTTCGTAACTTTGGTGAATGGGCAGTAAAATGGCAAATGCAATACAATGTAAGCAAGGGTGTACATTTCAGCAATAAATAAATCCTAATTTCACATCCACGCTAATGGAGTCTGTACTGTGGATGATTATGGCTGAATCTACAGGCATATGGAAAACACAGTGAAAATGCTTTTAAAAAAAGCGTTTTGAAAAAATATATTGAATTTGACATAGCTCACCATCGCCATCTAGTGTCACATTTGTATACTGCAATTTACAACACACTCAAAACATTTTAGTTGCAGCTGTATAGCTCAGTCCCAGGAATGAGATCTTGGCGTCTCAGTGAACAGTTCAATGAATATGTTGATCCAGTGTGGAGCAGTTAATGAAAATGGCAAATTCCATCATTATGAAAGGGATTGAAGAACTGCCAATTTAATAACAACATCATTATACAAATGTATGGTGCAATCACAATTGAAATGTTGTGTACAGTTTTGGTTCCCTCCCTTAAAAAGGATATTGTAGAGCTGGGAAAGGATCAGTAAAGGACAACCAAAATTGTAGGCTGGAGCAACTACCGGTAGTTTGAGTTACAAAATGTTTAGCTTTTCAAGTTTATATATAAAAATAAGGGACATGATAGAGATATAAACAACTATGCAAGATGTGAAGAAAATGGATAGATGGAAATCTTCCTTATAATTCTAGAGCCGGAGAGTACACGATGCTACTGAATGTTGGAAGAGTCAGGAGAAACAAAAGAAAATACGTTTGCATACTATGGGATTCCTACCCACGGGATGTTGTGATGGCCAGAAACTTGGGTGAGTTTTAAAAAGGATTAGACAGATTCATGGACAAGAACATCATCACCAGCTATGTTCTGCAACCACTGTTGGAAGAAGTATGCCTCTGAATACCACCTGGGGAAAGTGCTGTTGCCCTTATGTTCTGCTTGAGGGCTATGGCTAAGCTTCTGGTTCACCACTGTGAAAACAGGCTGCTGAACTAGGTAGGTCTTTGACCTGATCCACTAGAATGTACATGCAGAGACTGTAAATTATTTTCCTTTTAAAAATTGAAAAAAGACACATAGATCGAAAACATACAATTATCTGACCGGAGAAAAATTAATCTCATCCATTCTTCCCTGAATTAAATAACACATAATTTTCTGATCTGAAACCTCAAAAAGCCAAAAAAAAGGGGGGAGGGGAATGAAACTATTAACTTACAATACAATAGCTGCCATCCCCAAAGAGCAATCTTACCTCTTAGAAATTCTATGGATTTCAATGAACTGAGTAAGAAATAGAAGGAATTTAGCCTAATTAAAGCTCTAGTCTAACCGATGCAGTTTGAGCTGTGATGTGGTTCTCATCTGATTTCAATAACAGTTTAACTTTTTCTGCTCATAGTTATGACAGCCAATTTTTGTAAAAACAACCCAACAACCCAACATTGCTGTTTACATTATGCAAAGAAAAAAAGTTACTTCAGGGCCCATTTAACATTCATATGTTTTCAATATCTGTTTATTGAGCATTGATGAAAAACAGTCTATCTGAAAACATTTGCAGCAGCCATTTCATGGCTACTCAAGCCAACATCCATACATTACATCATGGTTCAAACAGCTCAGCACAATATACCATTTGAACAAAGCCAGTCATTTTGATTTTGTACAATTAGGCTTACAAAAATAATTTTACACCTAGAAAATAAATCAGATTCTCAATAAATTACAATATACTTATTATTTAACAAGGAAAAGCAGTGTATAAAATAGATAACAATATTAAGAGTTTCAAAAAGGAAAAGAGTTTCATTTCATTTGGCAGTCTAGGAAATCATTTAGTCATTCATCTGAGAGCTATGTACAGTGTTAAGCACCAAAAACTCTGCTCCTCTGCTTTCTTGCTGCAGTGCTCAGGTAACAATAGGCACTTGGACCAGATAGGAAGTATCCACAATGTGGACCTGCCTCCTTCACCATCACCACCATCTTGTCCTATCCCACCATGAAATGGAAGCCCAAAGGGCAAGGCAAAGTAGTGGTACAGGACCTTGGAGAGCTCCAGGTGATCCACCTACTATTCCAACTAGGTCTGGAGTTCCCTTTTATGGTACTCAACCCAGATTGTCATGCTCAGGCTAACTCACTCCCACTCTTGCTGTTAGTTCCCTCTTGGTTTGTTGCCTATGCCAGTGGTCCAGTGATGTGGTATTTGGGACTCCAGGTGGAGAAGCATTTTCTGGGCATTCCTGAGCAAAGGTCTCAGCTCAGGACCAGTGCCAGACATGTGTCTGGATTAAACAAATTAATGGAGGGTGAGCCTATTAATGGCTACTATCCAAGATGGCTATGTTCTGCCTCCACTGTTGAAGGCAGTATGCCTCTGAATACCAGATGCTCAGAATCACACCAGAGGGAGTGCTATTGCATTCAGGCTTCCCATAAGTATCTAGTTGGCCACTATGAGAACAATATGGTAAACTAGATGGGCCACTTGCCTCAAAGAGTAGGCTCTTCTTATGTTCTTATATCTAACTTTTCCATGGCCTTTACTGCAGGGCCTTCTGGGATCTGCTACCCAGAGTGGGCATTATGACACAACCCAATCTCTATTAGGAACAACTTTGGTGTAAGAAAGGTGCCATGACATTGGTCCAATGGTTTTGATGTCACCGGAAAAGCATGACAAAGAACTGAACTGCAACAGCTTTGATACTATGCCGATATGGGTCTACAGTTGTAAAATCTATGGATATTTTAAAGTCACATGGAGGATGTTTTCCCATTTGTTTGTTTTTTCTAGAACAAAAGAGAGAAATTTGGGGGGAATTGAAATATATCCAGTACTTTCTTATAAAAGCTAAACTCACTTTGCTCATTTAAAAACTTAGCACAACACATAACATTGTGCTATTCAGTATGTGAAACTTTTTTGGTTGCATGACATTTTAAATTGGATATGCTTATTTTTATTGATTAAAAATCCAGCGTATGATATGCTATTGTAAGCTTTTGGTATCAAAGTCTTTTGTAGTCCCCCTCCCTTTTTTGCCAGCTGGGAAAATAGAGAAAGATAGAAGATAAAATATAAACCATCAACGTTTGAAGGTCTTGTATGAACTGAAGCAAGTTTCTCGACACTTTCCTGCTTGCATGTTATAAGAGGGCATGTGTCTATTTTCTAACATTCATCCATTTATTTCACTTGATACAAAAAATGCAAAATAGAATCAACGGTCAGAGAGCGTGTTAGGCTACCAGCCATCTGAACGTATTCTATACTGGAAAATATTTAGATGTACTTTTTCAACATCAAGTGATAAGAGTGTTGCTTGTTTAGAAACCAAGACAAACATAGTACCAATGTTTTAATCACTAATATTCCCAACTTTGAATGTTGGAACTAAAAAAATTGCAGCTGTGTGTACTGGCTACAACAGTGCTAGTTTAGAACACTGCTCTATTCATTCTAATAGAATACTTCAGAAGATACGTGCTTTTTTCCCCCTTCAATTTCCCCCCAAATTTCTAATTTTTCCACTTCAGGAGAAAGCGTAAATGGGGAAAATATTTCTCCACTTTTTGCTAACATCCTTATTTAATCCTTTTAAAAATTATAGTTCACATTTCAAATAGTAGCTTTTTAAAAACCCACAGTTCAACATTAAAAACAGAACTTATTTACAAGAGACTCTTACTTAAGAGCAAAAGACAATACATTTTTAAACAAATCCCACAGCAGTATTCACTTACTTAAAATAAATTCCATTGAAATTAAGGAGATTTGCTTCCACATAGGTTAGAATCCAATGCATACTTGCCTGAGAGTAAGCTCCACTGAAAACAATGGGTCCTATTTTTGAGTAAACATGTACAGGATTTCACTATACAATTCACACATACGTCACATAGATGCTTGCAGGAAGTATTTTGGCTTTCAACCTCCCTTGTATATTCAAGAAAATGAGACACCTGCTTTGATTAACTGTTAAAACTACTTGCTTTGCTGTTTCATTATTTCTAAATTTCAGCTTGCAGTTCTATTAAATTCAGGCTTTGCATTCCGCTAGTGATACTTAAGACTTTTTCATGTATAAGGGGACAATAAATTAAATTTCTTCAATACTGATTCAAATGCATTGCAAACAGGAACAGCTTCCCCTTCTCTGTTCACCTACTTGCACCCACAAATTATATCTGAATTCAAGCTTTTTTTAAAAAAAAAAAGTTAGTAAAAGTGATTTATTTGTTGTTTTCTTATATATAAAAAAACTTCTCCAAAGGGAACTGTACTTGTCTCTTTAACAGCAGATCTGAGTTATTTGTCCTGAGTTTTCCAGTGTCACAATGGCTTAATGCAGTGCTTGTATTACAAAAAGAAGAAGCATTGATCAATATCACAATGGCTTTTGTTTTGGAAGAGATTGCTGTGAAATAACCGTAACTTGGTTTGCAGCTACCTTGTATTCCTGACCAGAGCCTTGTGGAGGAGAAGGCAGAGGAGTTTCGGGAGTTGCTGGGGAAGAATTGAAAAGGAATTATCAGTAATCAAATCAAGCTTCTCTTAACTTAGGGCTGCGTTGAAACAAGAGGCAGGGAATGTGCTTTTCATGAACGTTTTTCACCTGCCGTGAAGAAGTCCCTACTATTTCAGAGAGGGCCTGAACGTGGGAAATACGTCCGCAGGGGCTTTCCAGTTGTCAAGGCCATTCAGCGGATGCTGACTCTCCTAATGCAGCGTAGTAGCTTCAGCACCTACAGTCAATTTGGACTGAGGCACCACCACCTCCCTATACCCATTTAGAGTGAGGACACTGGCTTGTTGGTTCTCAGTGCCATCATCCTGTAGCCCAGTGTTTCCCAAACTTAGGTCTCCAGCTATTTTTGGACTACAATTCCCATCATTCCTAGCTAGCGGGACCAGTGGTTCAGAGGTGATGGGAACTGTAGTCCAAAAACAGCTGGAGACCCAAGTTCAGGAAACTCTGATGTAGCCAACTCTTTTATTTCATGAATTTTTATTTACTTCATAAAATTTATATACTGCTTGATTGTAAAAACAAAACAAAAAAAAACCCAAAACCTAAAACATCTAATCTTATTGGTTACATGGTATTGTGGCAGCATCATATTTGGTGAAGGATCTGCAGTTGGCTGAGATAACATGGAAAGAAAGCCCAGAGAGAGAAATGATACGGAAGAAGGAGCAAACTACAAAATGAATACTGTGAACCTCTTCAAATAACAGCAATGAAAAAGTTAGTGTTAAAGACTTGTTCAAAAAAAACATTTCATGCCCTCTGAAAGCCACTCTTTGGACCCGCCCCCCAAAAGTATTTCTGGATGAAGATTTGGCAATGCTATAGCCTAGCCTTCACTAAAAATTTGCTCAATATAAGAAATTAAATTTTTAACTCAGGTTGTTAGTAGAAAACAATTAAGGTTGGGGAAAAAAATGATGGGAAGCACTGATAACCAATTAAGCAGTTAATTAAAAATAACCCACAGAAGTTACACTCAAATGATATATTTACAATAAACTTACAAATCGGTTCTGCATGTACAGGAGCAGCCACTGAACTTATAAGCAGAGTTTGTCCAGTGAGGGGATCTTGGGCTAGATGAGGATGAACTTGGTGGAGATTCGTGGCATCACTAGACGTACCTGCAAGAGAAAACCCAAGTGTTTGTCTGTGCAAATGGACAGAGAATCAGAGAATCAGAGAACTGTAGAGTTGAAATGGACCATTAGGGGCATCTACACCAACCCACTGCAATGCAGGGATCTTTTGCCCAACAGAGGGCTTGAACCCACAACCCGGAGATTAAGAGTGTCATGCTGGTTGATTCTAGAAAATAAAATACATTTCCCTCACTTAGAGGAGCTGCAAGACCTTAATTCACTTATTGACAAAGCCAGGATGAAAACAGAGGAAGATGAGATGTACCACTACCCCTTGACTGCTAGTTCCTACTGAGTGTCCTATGAGGGGACATTCTCATAGGGCACAGAACAGGTCAGTCCAGGTGTGTGGCCTGGAGAGAGTCCACAGGGAGAAACAGAAAAGCCTACAAGGGGGCATTTGGTTCCAGGGCCTGAAGTCCTCCACATCTGTTTACATAAAGTTATTACATAAATGCCAAACCTCCTTAGCCCTAAATTTTGCAAAAATAATTCTAGACCCAAAAGTAGCAGGAAAATGTATCTCATGGGGGGGGACGACACAGCACTAATATAAGTGCATCTGAGTACAGTGGTACCTTGGTTCTCAAATGTCTTGGTACTCAAAACAACTTGGAACCCAAACACTGCAAACCCGGAAGCTGTTTTGGGGGTTATTTTTTAAAGTCTGGAATGGATTAATCAATTTTGCATTATTTTCTATGGGAAATTGCGCCTTGGTTGTCAAACGCTTTGGTTTTGGAACAGACTTCCAGAACGGATTAAGTTTGAGAACCAAGGTACCACTGTACAGTTAAACACAAGGAAGTCCAATAAAAGCTACTGACACACCTACCTCCCAGTAACATTTCTTGAAGCAAACTATCAATTTTAACCATTCCAAACAGTTTCACAAATTGTATTTGCTCAATCATTTGCCAGGTGATGCTCTGAAGGGTGGGCAGAAGTAGTAAGAGTTCTCCAAAGCGTCCCCTGGAGTCGTACTGACGGTCATTGATGTAGTCCTCCAAATTGATCTGAACTTGAAACCTCGTGTTCCTGATCTTCATTGGGTTACTCAGTCCTTTTGCATCTTCAAACAACAAAGAAATCTTTCGTAAGGGTATGGAAGAAAGCACCAAAGCAAGGAATAATTGGTAGTGTTACTATCCACGTAGGCCCTGGGGATAAAGAAGACTCACAGAGCAATCCAAATTCCCCAAATACTATGCTGGAGGGGATTTGGGGTGGAACAGAGGTGTCCCTCCACCAACTTGGAGCTTCCCAATGTAACTGGCCACATGACAGATGGGCAGAAGTTACAACCAGTGGTAGCCTGTAGAAAAACCCACCTCTATACTCACAACAGGGCATTTCAAAAGGAAGGAGGGACAGACTAGTTCCTGTGCAGATCTTTCTACTATCATGATGGTGCCTTCTGTGCCAACTTTTAAACATCTGCTTTAAAAAATCCTATTCTGCCAGGCCTATGTAGGCAATCAAGACTATATCCTTTGACAGAGGTTTACTGATTGTCATTTTGAACTTTTTCTGTTTTTAACTGTTGTTGGATGATAGGAGTCATAGTACAAAGACTGGAGAGCATTGGGTTGGGGAAGGCTGACAAAGACACATTTTGTTAAATTGGGAACCACATCAAGGTCAACATTAGCATAGGAAAATCTTTTCAGCTAAGACTATCGCATTGTGTGGGGGTGTGGGGGGTGTTGGATTCTGAAGTATACCTGGATCAAAGAAGACAATTGCTTTTAAGCAAGCATATTCATTATCATCAATTTGGATCTCCTGAAATGGTCGTATTATCTCATCCAGTATCCTGTTTGCTACTCGGCTGATCTCAATTTCGGAACTGTTGCGATGGATTACAAAATCATTACCTAAAGAAGCAAAAACAAAATCAGAACTCTTTTGACAACGTAAGTAGCCTTAAAATTCATATTCAGCTTCCATTTTCAATCGTGCATTTATGCAGATGAATGTGTTCACAAAAGACGTTTCTCCACACATGCAATATTTATTTCCACAAATAATATGCCAGCAGAGAAATCATAATCATAATATATTCACCAAGAAGGAGAGCAAAATCTTCAAGGTTCATCTTAAGACAGATGGGTGGCTGAATCGTCCTTTTTTGAATCCAATATACTTACCATGAATCCTATATATCAGGGTAGTTAACATGGCACCCTCCATATTTTGCTAACTACATAGCTCCTATCAGGGCCAGCCAGCATGGCTAATAGTCAAGGATGGTGAGAACTGTTGTCCAACATGTGGAGGGCACCCCATTGACTAATGCTGCTATATAGCACTAGGCTCTGCAACAGCCAGCACGGCCACACCTTAAGCTTTTGTCATCAGCATATCAGCCTCTCTCCAAACCTGAACAGCAGATACAATGCTGTGGATAATGAATTGGAAAGGTCAGAGCTATGGATGGGGAGAAGTTCAGTTCACAAGGCAAGGCAAACCTCCTTAATTCACAATTTCTGCATCAACATGAAACTGAAATACTGCCATCCCTTGCAATTTGTGCTACTCCAAATTGTGAAATGTGGTTCTCCAGCCAAGTAACGTGTACCAAAAAAAATGAACATGTTAGTGAGAATGTATACAAATATGCATTAAACTACAGAAAACGGCTTTGCAAAAATGTGTATACAGTCATACCTTGGATCCCGAATGCACCGGAACTCCAACATTTTGGCTCCCGAAAGCCACAAACCCAGAAGTGATTGTTCTGGTTTGCAAATGTTCTTTTGGAACCCAAAAAGAAGCCGCAATTTGGTTTTTTAACATTTCTGGAAGTCGAACGGACTTCCGGAACGGATTCCATTCGACTTCCAAGGTACGACTGGATTGTGGGAAATTGCATGCAAAATGTATACATGTGCACTAAAATTCTGATGACTTTATTTTTAAAAAGTTGCTTACTGATGTGGAAATGTTGAGAACTAAAAACTGGGAAAAGGAGAAACTTTGAGAAACCAAAACTGGCAGATTCACTCATCCCTAGTTAGAGCATGATGTGTCTTAGATGGTGATCCTATGTACAATTACTAAGAGTAAACCCCAATAACACTGTGCAAAGGATCCAAGCTCTTCCAGTCATTCCATCAACATATTTCAGCAAGCTTGATGGAATAATCTCCCATCTCCTCCACCTGGGGGGGGTATTTCTCTATACCACATTTGAGTCAATTTGGGCTGGAGGAGGATGTGGAAACTCATGAGCCAGCTCCCGCTAGCACACCTACTTAGTTGAATCATGCCCAGTGAGACAGTAAATATGCACAGGACTGTGTTGTAAAAAGTAAAATAAAGATAAACTTACCTAAAAGAATAATGTCTTTGTAAAGCATAGAGCGTTTTGCTGCTCCAAGCAAAAGGTGTTCTCCAGCATGTGCTCTTAACAGGGCAACCTTGGGAAAAATAATGTGCATAGAACAATAGTAACTTCAAAAATAAAGCAAGTGGAATAAGATGAATCACCTGCACTAGGTGTGAAGACACCCTCCCTCCCTCTTGAAGACAAGAGGTTTCCACTTTAGAAATACAATGGAAGTTTGTCTATTTGGATAAGGAGTTGCTCTGTTTTGGCTTTGTTTCCAGCTTCTGAATATGTGCAATACCTGATGACGTCCTGAAAATCAGGCCTTGAGACTCAGTCCCTCAGCTCTCTCTGCTGTTCCTAGAGCAATTAACTTGGTGCTCTCTAGGTGTTTTGGACAATAGTCCTGTGCTGGTTAGGCTGATGGGAGTTGTAGTCCAAAACATGTGGAAGGCACCAGATTAGTGAAGGCCGAACAAGAATTGCTCACTGCCTCCCAATACCCCTGTTGAAAGCAGGTAGGAAGAGGCCTTTTGGCGTTTTTCTTATAGAGTAACTTGACTGTGTCTCATAAAAGGTAGATTTTTCCTGATTATTTCACCTCTTTTTTTCTTAGATCTCAGTTGCTTACTGTGGATTTGTTTGCACCTGGGCTTGTTTGCTTGGCTCCTGCTGTGTGGCATGATCTTCTCTGGACCCAAGCCTACCCACTCTCTTGAATCTAACTGTATATATGCCAAAACCAGCTCCCCCATGATCTCTACTTCCCTTGAGCTTCCCTTGATGTTCTGGCTTAACATCCTAGAAGTGTCTTCTGTGAAAAGAGAGCCTTCAACACAGAACCATTATTGTGGCTTCTCAGCTCATTATCCCATACCTGATCATCCAGCCGTAGTTCGCAAAAAGCTGGAATGTATTTTGCCCATTCTACAAGCACCAGGAGCTGCTGCCTCATAGATTCACATACTTCGCTAATGCCAGCAATTTTCTTAACGCTGATGTCAGTACCAGCACAGGGGCTTGAAACAGGGAGCTGGTTATAGTGGAGAGAAATTATGAACTCGCATTATTCCAGCAGTCTTTATAATAAAGTTTTGTCTGCCTACAGTCACCCAATAGAACCCCCCATACCAACAGAAAATAGGTTTATAGTGAGTATATACTAGCCCAAATATACACCAAATAATGAGTATATCATGTTCATATGCATGGTGAGAGAGATGTGGGATGCAGTCCCTACACGATGCAATTGTCTGAACTTTGAGCTTTATGGGATCAACATGCATAGGATTGTACTGTTGGACTTTCCATTTTGTGACAGTCACTTTTGCATCCACACTACAAAGTCAAGGAGTTATAGGAGGAGAAAGCAAAGGTGGGAGCCAAAAGTAATGGGGTTTCTGAATATCATGCGAAGAAAAAGAGGAACAATCTTTGCTAAACCTTAAGAGGAAAGGATGAAAAAATGGTGGAGGTTCAGACGAAGAGATAGAAGTGGCATCAAAGACAAGCAGGATTTGAATTATATAAACAATTAGAAGTTGTTCTGTATGGTTTCTTGGTTGTTGTTTACTCACTCTTCACCATAAGGTCACAGGGCAGGTTACAACAATTAAAACACTACATTAAAGGTAAATGGACCCCTGACCATTAGGTCCAGTCGTGACCGACTCTGGGGTTGCAGCACTCATCTCGCTTTATTGGCCGAGGGAGCCAGCGTACAGCTTCCGGGTCATGTGGCCAGGATGACTAAGCCGCTTCTGGCGAACCAGAGCAGCGCACGGAAACACCGTTTACCTTCCCATTGAAGCAGCACCTATTTATCTACTTGCACTTTGACGTGCTTTCAAACTGCTAGGTTGGCAGGAGCAGGGACTGAGCAATGGGAGCTCACCCCGTCACGGGGATTCGAACCACTGACCTTCCGATCGGCAAGTCCTAGGCTCTGTGGTTTAACCCACAGCGCCACCCACATCCCTTTTAAAACACTACATTAAAAACAGTTTAAAAAAACTTAATCACAGAAATAATGTTGGTCATAAGAATATTCCTACTGAGTGTCAAAACCAACACTATACCTCTTTCCCTTAGCACCCCACAAACCAAGCTCTGTTTTCACTGTTACATAAAAAAGTAGACCTTTAGAATTAGGCATTCAGCCCCTGATATTTCACTAACTTCAACAGGAGTATTCCAAGTGGTCAGTGAAACATTTCTTCAGATAACTTACAAACCACACCCAATAGGGCTAATGGCTCTACCCGAATCAGGCAGCTAAGTATTTTGAAAGTGAAAGATGTATAAAGCTTATTGCAAAAGAAGCTGAATCAGATTATAATTTTCCAGAGAGAATCTTCCCATCTCATTTCTGTATTGCAAATGCAAAAGGATAGGTGCATGTATAAAACAGAGAATATTTTAAAGGTCATGGGGATCCCATACGCCATGATGGTGGATTGCTGTACCTGGTGAGAAAGCAACTCCGCCTGGGCCAACATATTAATAGAAGGAATGTTGCTGCCATCCGATGCACTTCGTCTTGTACTTATCCTGTCCCGTTCATTTTGCACAGCTGGGAAAGGAAACAAAATTGCACATTGGTTTGCATGCAGGCCATGCTACTGAACAGCTTTTCAAAGGTAGCATTTACTATAAACCAGAGTTTCCAGCTTATCATGGTTTACCAGGAATGAGCAGGGTGCTATCTAACCGCTCCTGCTTTTTTCCTGCCCTGGCAAGAGTAGGATGAAGAAACCTAGAAGCCTTGGTTTGCCATTATGTACAAATGCAGGATTGTGGTTTGCTTCTCCCTAATACAATCTGCAAGCCAACATAAGCCAGTTTAAAAAAGCAGCAAACCAACAATAAACCATGGCTTGAGGCTGGCTAGCAATTGTGGCTTCTTAGCGATAGACAAATCATGTTCCTTGATCCAGATGTAATGGGAAGTCAAAGGTTTGTGATTTGTCTATCTTGGTCATGCCAGGGGAGGGGCAATGCTAGAGCAGTCAGACAGTTTGTTTGTTTGTAACATATTACAGTGTTTCTCAAATTTGGACTGCGACTCCCATCATTCCTGACCTGCTAGCAAAGGATAATGGGAGTTGCAGTTCAACAGCAACTAGAGACCCAAGTTTGAGAAACATTGTAGGATAAGCCAAAAGTCCTACCTCGTTATGATGTGTGTGCAGTCAAAGTGTTATTAAGAAACTGTATGAACCATAGATGTCCAAAGTTGGTCATGACATTATTGCAGAAATTCATGGAAGAGCAATGGCAAACATTTTTATATAAGCATTATAAGAAACGGTCCTAAAATAATTTCTGTTTACAAAGAACACCATTTCAACTTTAGAAATTTTGAAGTCAAAAAAGTCTCATAACTTTTAGAGATAGGTCTGAACCTTTCCTTCCTTGCCCCACCATTCTTTTTTCTTTACAAAGCTTTTGAACTGCTGCAGTAGCTGATGGATTTTTGCGGGGAGGGTAAGCAATCACACTGATAGCTATGTTTCAATCTGCATATAACTTCGGGACTAGTGACTTAGGGAGGTTTGCTTTAAAAGGTGGATTAAAAAATAACACAACTCCATCCCTAATGTGAAACTTCTCTAAAACCACTTTCAGCTTTCAAAACAACTGTCTTCCAGCCAGAGTTCATTTTTAAGGATGTAGCATTGAGAGATGCTAGTATTAGGGTTTGGAGCAGATAGTATGGAGCAAAAATAATCTCATACTAGCCTTTCGAAAGAGAATGGCATGGTGCAACACAAAGCTTGTGTTGGAACAAGGTGTCCCTTTTAATGCAAAAATGAAAGAGATAAATACCTATTTTATATCCAAGGTCATATCAAGGAGAGAAAACAGAGTTGTGATCAACATATTTCTCCATTCCACACAGAACCTCATAACCTTTTGTAAAAGCATCAGTTGTATTTCCAATGATCCGTTTGTTATTTTTAAGGAAGCAATCTGCATCAGAGAAGTTGAGAAGGCAGCACCAATGCTTCAATAAAAATGTGCTCAGTGCACTATATAGTGTTCTGCAGTTTATATGAAGAATGAACACGCTTTATAGTGAAGGCGCACTAGATTCTTAGCCAAGGACATTCATGATGGGCCTTTTATTAAGGTCATAATAAGAAATGTCGTACAGTGATAAACACTAAGTGATAAATGGTCACGTAGACGTGAATCAAGAATGATGCTCCAGTCTTTTTTAACTGGAGAAAAGCTATCTTTTTTCATTTCTTAACTCAGCACCTCAACAACAAAATGTAGTTATGCTTTAAATATAAAATTATACCAGAGGACTGGCATCTAACTACTTTGATCACCCTGAATAAATGGTGGGAATGCATTACAAACCATTTTTTTAAAAAAAGAATGAGAAGTTTTTCAGAAATAAATGTTTTGCCTGCACATAATTCAACTTCAAAGTTTGTTACTAGTCAGTTTGAAAAGCCTATTTTTTGTTTTTGTTTGTTTAAAAAAATGTGATAAGCCTATGGTGAAAACAGAATAATAACTAATAATAATATAATAATAATAATAATAATAATAATAAATTTTATTTATATCCCGCCCTCCCCAGCCGAAGCCGGGCTCAGGGCGGCTAACAACACTAAAACAGTACAACATTATAAATACATTCTAAAAATTAATTAAAATACAAATTGATGGCAACCATAGACTAAAGCTTTGTAGAGATTGCCAAAGGAGGGAGTCAGGCTGCGCCCTGACCAAAGGCCTGGTGGAACAGCTCTGTCTTACAGGCCCTGCGAAAAGATGTCAAGTCCTGCAGGGCCCTTGTCTCTTGCGACAGGGCGTTCCACCAGGTTGGGGCCGCAGCCGAAAAAGCTCTGGCTCTAGTTGAGGCCAGCCTAACCTCTCTGTGGCCTGGGACCTTCAAGATGTTTTTATTTGAAGACCGTAAGTTCCTCTGTGGGGCATACCAGGAGAGGCGGTCCCGTAGGTACGAGGGTCCTAGGCCGTATAGGGCTTTGAAGGTTAAAACCAGCACCTTAAACCTGATCCTGTACTCCACCGGGAGCCAGTGCAGCTGGTATAGCACCGGAGGAATGTGATCTCGCAGCGAAGACCCCATAAGGAGTCTCGCTGCGGCATTCTGCACCCGCTGGAGTTTCTGGGTCAGTCTCAAGGGCAGCCCCACGTAGAGCGAGTTACAATAATCCAGTCTGGAGGTGACCGTCACGTGGATCACAGTGGCTAGGTCAGGGCGAGAGAGGTAAGGAGCCAACTGCTTAGCCTGGCGGAGATGAAAAAATGCCGCCTTTGTTATAGCTGCAATCTGCGCCTCCATGGAGAGGGAGGTATCGAAGATTACACCCAAACTCTTAACGGACGGTGCTGGCATCAATTGCACCCCCGCAAGAGAAGGGAGTTGCCCCCTCAATCTCATATCGTCCCGTCCCAGCCAGAGGACCTCTGTCTTCGAAGGATTTAACTTCAACCGGCTCCCACGTAACCATCCAGCCATAGCTTCCAGACATCTGATCAGTGTGTCTGGGGCCGAGTCAGATGAAATGGTATTCCTTAGCTTGGAGGACTCAAGGAAGAACACGGCAATAATGGAGGGAACACTGGCATAGCTCCTAGTGCCCAGATAATTTTGTTCCTAAACTCTTGCTTGTGATCCTTTATAAGCTGGGAGAGGTTGAAACTAACTTTCATTTGAGAGCTGCAATGGTGGGAGAAGAGGAAAGCCCTGTCAAATATATGCAAGACTTTCTACAAACTTAAAAAGTCTTGGATTTTACAAGGTCATATATACATTAAAAGAACAGTGATAAAACTAGTAGGCAAATACTATGACTGAGGTTTTATGGTGCCAAGTGCGCAACCCAAACCACTTTTGTGCTGGACATGGGGTTGTATTAGTGTCCCTCCACCCAAAGAATTGAACCAGTGTCAGTCCTTACTGATAGCTTGTGGAAAGTGGAAAGAGCTGGTCTGGGAGCCACAGGACCCTGAGCTGTTCCTGCTCCTTGACGGCAGCAAGCCCAATCTTGGTCCAAATGTCTGCTCCCAACCTTGTGCCTTGGCTGACATGAGAAACAAGTCTGCAGATATGGAAGTGGTTCTATAGCTCCATCGCTCTCCACCTCTGCCCATTAGGCTCTGGATTGCCCTGGCTGCTCAATGGGGCTTACTCTCAAGTAGGTGAGTACAGAAGTGCAGCCTTAGCTTAAATTGCAGTTATTTGATGCTAAGCAAATCTTATTGATGTGATTTAATATGTAATTTTTCTGTTTTCAAAGGGATGCACTTGAGAATTTTGGGGAGTACCTTTCTGAAATTACAAGTATAGCTGCGTGTAAGTCTTCTACAGCAAGAGAAGGGTCTTTTCCAAGGAAGCACTAAGCAATTTCTGTCTGTCTGTCACACACCCACAGAGGGCAAAACAAAACAACATTGCTGAAATTTAACTTCTACTTTGAATACGTCAGTTGCAAAGGAGAATCAAGCTTGGCATTATTCTCCCTCATCCCGTGAGATTTTCAGCATTACCACCTCCTTTTGACTTAAAAATCAACCACCATACAATGTTTTCACCTGGAATTCAGAACAGATGGGATTTGTCTATTTGTTCAGTGTGAATATATAAGCTGTCTTCCAATGAAGCTCCTTCAGTCTGGCCAAAATGATATTGAATTCAACACATGCTGAGGGCTAAAAGTTGCCCTTGTAGACAAAGAGCAGTGGACACTGGGAGTCACGTGTCTCCTTCCCAAAAACAATTTTTTAAAAAGAAAAAATGAAAAGCATCCTCTGTGGAACAGCAGAGTATGGAATATTGAACCCCACTTTTAAAAAATTCCATTTTTTATCTTAAAGCTCCCACCATGCAGGAAACATAAGAACAAAGGAATAGCCCTGCTGGACCAAGCCAGTGGTCCACTGACTCCAGCATCCTGTTTTCACAGTGGTCAACTAGATGTCCATTGGAAGCCAGCAAGCAGGACTTGAGCACAACAGCAATTTCCCCTCCTGCAGTTTCCTGCAACTGGAATTTAGAAGAATACGGCTTCTGACCATGGAGGCAAAGTGCAGCCATGGTGGCTAGTATCCATCGGCATTCTTATCTTCCATGAATTTGTCGAATCTTTTAAAGTCACCCAGCAGCCACCACTACTTCTAGGGTGAATTCCATAGTTTATCTATGCCTACTTCCAGACATGCTAAAATATAGGAGAACTCATGAGTCTGCTTTTAAACATCCTTCTGCATAGAAATGAGCTCTATATAGAACCATCGATGGCTCTATGTCCATGGTTCTTTTCCCCCCCCCGTCCCATTTCTAAAGAACTGGATGCAGAAGGTAGTTTGCAATAAATTGGGAATACTATTAATAATATGAGAGGCCTCACAACAAACCTATGTTTCCTATTACTATTACAATTTTACAGATGAAGATCTGAGGACAAGAGTGTATGTAAGGTCACCAAACTACAGCTGAACTCAGATTTTACCTGCCTAAATCCACCACTTTGTCCATGAGGCCACAATGACTTGAGAAAAGTAAAAAAATTATCAAGTTTAACTAAAACAAAGAATATCTCATAGTATGCAAACTAGAGAAAGCATGCTTTGCTTTGTTTTCAAATGACCCATATGTCAAATCTTAGCATTAAGCAAAAATTACATAGCAAGCTGACATCTTATTGGAGACATATTTCGACTGCTATAAAAATCTCCTTCTTTTGTAGGCACAACCAATATATATTCATTAGGTATTTGCTTATAGATTTTGTTTCCTGCTAATTGATATGAAGTGTTTTCCTCTGAACAGGAGGTTAAAAAAAAGTTACCTTCCTTCTTCATCCCAGCGCGAAAACACTTTCTTAAACGACAGTATCTGCATTGATTTCTCTTGTCCTTATCAACAGTACATTGCCGGCTAAATCTGTTGGACAGAATCGAGGGTAAATATATTAGAGTGCAAGTAAAGGAGGGTCCTGATTAGCACGGCTGAAACAATTAATGGGCACTGTCAAAACAATGTCTCCAACTATCAACCTTCAGTGGTATTTTTTCTTTAATCAGCCTTGAAACATTTCTCTTTGCCATTCTTCTACGGAATAATTCCTTGTGATGGGCAAGTAAAATCCCATTAGGTTATTCATCATCTTGTGAACGCAAGGCATATAAATTTTGCTCCCAGTCTCGTGAATGTTTAGGATGAATTTTCTTACAGCTTGATCCAAACCTGCTGGGGCAAATGGTCAGGAATAGGAAATGAAAGAAAAGCACTGTAAGATCAGAACAAAGATTTGTCTGCTCTGGCACATGATTTCCAAGGGGGCCCCAGATATTGTAGAAAGCATTCAGGCAAGGCTTGCAGGAAACAGCTTTTTGCTCTTGCTTGTCCATGGCACCTGGAATTCAAAGGTAGACTGCCTTTGTTCATGGAAGCTACTGGAATGAGCCTGGCTATAGCCTTTGATACTGATGAAATCATAGAATCAGAGGGTTGGAAATGACCGTGCAATGCAGGAATCTTTCACCCAATGTGGGGTTCAAACCCACAACCCTAAAATTAAGAGTCTCATGTTCTTACCAACTCAGCTATCCCAATGTACTTATACGTTTATAATGTATTAGCTTAGGCTAAGAGATGGTGACCGCCCAAGGTTACTCAGCCTTCATGGCTGAGTGAAGATTTGAACCCTGGTCTCCCAAGTCCTATTCTGGCACTCTAACCACTGCACCACACTGGTTCTATTTTACCAAGCTAATTTTTATAACTGAGTGCAGCCCAATGGCCATATGTGGCCCTAGGCCAAATTTCACGAACAATCACTCAGCTCTTCAGACATTGTGTTCTCACTCTTGCTATCCAGGCTGCCCCTCTGAGAACTGCTTCTGCTTCATGTGTGAGTGTATGTGCACTTGTGTGTCTGTGTGAGTGAGAAGAGGTAGAGAAGAAGAGAAAGAATGGGGTGGGACACCATGCAATAAGGCAATTCTAACCCTGCTATTGACTCTGGCCACATTCACCATACACTGAAAGTGCTATGATACAATATTAAATGGTCATGGTTTCTCTCAAAGAATTATGGGAGCTGTAGTGCGTTAGGGGTGCTGAGATGCTAGGGGATGGCTATTCCCCTGACAGACCTACAATTGTCAGAGTTCCCTGTAAAGAAGGATTGTTTGTTGAACCACTCTAAGAATTATAGATCTGTGAGGAGAATAGGGGTCTCCTAACAGCTCTTGGCACCCTTCAAACTACAGATCCCAGAATCCTATGGGGAAAGAACTGACTGATTAAAATAGTATCATAGTAGTGTATCTGGATGGTCTCTGGCTCTACCCACCACTGATTGACTTTTCCCATGGGTCCACTGTCCTCCATAGGAAAGAGGACCTTAACCATATTTAAAAACAAACCCAAACTCTGCAAAGTGATACCCATGTCAAAACGAGGTAATATCCCCGTCTGAGATGCACTGACACACCTAGGAAGGTTTTCTTCCCCTGAAGCGATGGGACACCCTATAACACATTTGTCTGTCTACTTTAAAGTATAGGGAGGGAGAATGCAGGGTTTTCAAGTAATTATGGGGCAAGGCAGGAGGATGCCCCAGCCAGAGAAATAATTTTTGGCTGTTTGTCTGGGTTAGACCATCATTTTGGCTGTGGTGGTACAATTAACTAGAGCTGCTGCACTTAAAATGGACTGATGCAATCAGGCAAGTTAAATTGCTTTATTTTCCAGGTGTAAGGGCTGAAATCATGTACACAGTGATAAATGCTGAGGTTGTCTTTGTATCTGAAAGTCTCAAGATAACTGAAGATCTCGATAAGTCAAGTGATGGTAAAAGCAGGAGGGAGAGTACCTTTTAACCTCGGCAACAGTCCTAGGCAGCCTTCCTGAGAAACGAGAAGGGGATAAAAGGAAATGCCAGAGGGCACCTCGTAGCACAGATCTAGTCAGACTTGAGGGGGGAATGAACAGAGATAGAGGGACAAAACAGAGCCAAGGATAGGAAGGAACCTCACAAGACAGCATTGCTTGTGAAGCCATATCTGACGATCAAAATCTACATTTGTTGCCATTTGCAAATGAAAATAGTTTGGTCCAGGAATGCAAACGACTGCTGAGGAAAACAGTTTCATCTTTAATGTGCCAAGTACCACTCTGCAAGGAAACTCTTCTGCATTCAAACAGCGGAGCATTGCAAAGATTAAGAGACAAGAGGCAAGATTAAAAGGACCCATAGCAGAATCTTGCTCTTAAGAAGTGGCAGTGGGCAGCTGAACACCCAGGGGGCTCAAGTCTTGCCAGGACTGGAATCAGACTGAAGAGTTGCCTGCAGGGGTAGACCGTTGTCTACCTTCAGTTCTAGATTTTTGGATCCAGATCTGTTCCTGTACAAGCCCTCATCCCAGTTAAGAAAATCATGTGATTGCACTTGCTTTGGCTGTTCCCAATCGGCAAAAGTTTAGTACCTACAGATCATTTCGCAGACAGCAACCCCCTATAATGTAAAACCTTTAATGGGTTCAATCCTGTGGAGCTGTTTGCTAATGAAATCTTCTACTGCCCATTCGGCTTTGCTTTTCAAAGACATATTTTCATCTGAACAAGCTTTAAACCTCCTGTAACTGCAGATGTCCTTTTTATCATGCACTCATGCGCTCGGGGTGGTATTGGGGCGGTTATACAGTACATGATCCCATTTTTATGAGTGTTTGTGCCTGCAAAAGTTTCAGGGTAGTTATGCCACTTAATTTCCAATCAGTGCATGTCCCGTAACTTCCCACTGAAACCCTGTAACTTTTCATACCACAAAAACCCCAGTTTTCTGGCATGCTTTTGTTAAGCCATAGCACAGGATGGCAATACTGTGATGACATTTGGATAGCATCACAGGACAACCTAAAAAGCAGAATGGTGAGTGGACGGTCCAATATACATCTACCACTAAGGCACTATTATGGAGTCAACAGCATGTTGAAGAACACACCTGCCAAAAGAGGAGGTGCACTTCCTGGCCCCAGCCCTCACCACATCACCACTCCACCACTTCCTGGCCCCAGCCCTCACCACATCACCACTCCATGTGTCAGGGTCTGAACTTCTGCAATGAGAAACTGCACAAGTAAGAAACCTGACCTTCCCTTTTTTTCACTTGAGAGTGGGAACCCTGATGCAGACCTTCAGCTCCCCCAATGTGGAGGGGGCTGTGTAAGCTGTGCCAGTGGCCCTTAGTCTTGGAATTGTGTCGTGGTAAGGGAACATCGGGATGTACCCAATACCATGGCCAGACCATTTGCCCATCTAGTTCAGTACTGTTCCTTCTGACTGGCAATGGCTCTCTGGGGTCTCTTGCGCACTGCCTGCAGCCGCATCTTTTGAAGGCATGATCCCTTCCCATTAAATATGACATCTGTCATCTCAATACAGTGGTACCTCGGGTTAAGAACTTAATTTGTTCCAGAGGTCAGTTCTTAACCTGAAACTGTTCTTAACCTGAGGTACCACTTTAGCTAATGGGGCCTCCCACTGCCGCTGCACAATTTCTGTTCTCATCCTGAAGCAAAGTTCTTAACCCGAGGTACTATTTCTGGGTTAGCAGAGTCTGTAGCCTAAAGCGTCTGTAACCTGAAGGGTCTGTAACCCGAGGTACCACTGTATATTGGATTCTGGAACTCCTCCTGGTTTTATAAAGAGTGGGATAGTAAAGGTTCAAATAAATAAATAAATACTGCATGATGTACCTGTGAGATGGGGTTATTTCTCCTACCTGCAGGTGTAAACATGATTCTTTCGTATGCTGCGTCGGAAGAACCCCTTGCACCCATCGCAACTGGAGGCGCCATAGTGCTTGCCTGTTGCTCTGTCTCCGCATATTGCACAAAGGCTGCCAATTCCACTGTCTGCAGTGTTCATGCCGAGCGGCTCTGCTGAGCAACTGTCTGAGGAAAGGGAAGAACAAGATGTACAGTTCGGTGTAGAGCCTTGAAGGGGAGCAATACAACAATGTGGCTAAGTTACACCATACTGGGGGGGGGGGGCTTACTGGCCTTCTCTTTTAATTAGCATTCACCATCCCAGGACTGCAGAAAACACAACATGCCTAATTACCCCTGATTGTTATTCTAATGAATGCCTTCAAACCTATCGTGCCCACTTGTCAGAACTTATGATGCTCATGACAACGAATGCTTTTGGTTTAAACTCCACGGCTTGCAATAGAAGTTGGGAGTGCTGACACAATTGCCCAGCTCTGCATGTGTAGCTAACTACTTAAATATCTTTGTTAGTTTAAATAATTGAGGGACAATGCCATAAGGCAACATTTTCTCGGAGGCTGGTATGCATTAACTGTGCATTAATCTTCAGATGACTTGACAGTGGCCAGCAACATGGTTGACTCCCTGGAAGAAAGCTGTAATATCCAGGGGCCTCCATCCGCACAAACAGAAACTGGGGAAGCTGTATGATATGTCGTCCGGCCATTGGTTTATTAAGCTCAGTACCATCTATGCTCACTTCCTACATTACTGGGCAAATCACCCTCGCCTACTGGGAGCAGAAGCCAATGGTTTCAGATAGGGGACATGCCCAGCCCTACTCAAGAGATGCTGTAGAGTGAGACTAGGACCGTCTGCATGTAAACTTATAGCCCTAGCATCAAACTATACAGTGGTACCTCGGGTTAAATATTTAATTCGTTCTGGAGGTCTGTTCTTAACCTGAAACTGTTCTTAACCTGAATCACCACGTTAACTAATGGGGCCTCCTGCTGCTGCTGCGCCACCGGAGCACAATTTCTGTTCTCATCCTGAAGCAAAGTTCTTAACCCGAGGTAATATTTCTGGCTTAGCGGAGTCTGTAACCTGAAGCGTATGTAACCTGAAGCGTATGTAACCCGAGGTACCACTGTATAGTGAAGCTTTTGGGCTTTCCCCCCAAAGCCAAGGATCTTGTTGATAAAAAGGTTTGATCAGCTTAGACAGCATCTGTCACCACTGTTTAGGATTTGTGTTTCGATTCAACCTTCTGAGGCAGGTGACTGCCACTGGTTAAAGTGACAGGACCCATTGTTTCTTTGGTGGAAGTATGCAGTCTTAATCCAGTTAAGGAGCAACCAGATGGGCCGATTTCAGCTGCTGGGTGTTAGATGTTTTTACTGCATGGAACATACTGGGTTGGAAACCTTGCTGGAATTCTGCGATTGGAAAGCATTCTTATATTCTGCAACCAGAAAAATGTTTATGAAACAATTTCACTACATTAAGACACTGACATAATTGTAAGTGATTCAGCTGTGGTTTTGTTCAAAGAATTCAGTGGAAGCATGTTGGGTTGTGAGAATAATGTTTTTTATGTTTTTTAAAGGACAGGAAGTAGGAGGCTTGCCGAGGTTAATGGGGTATCAGAAGCTATGTTCAGTGAAATCCCACCATTTGATGAATGTAGGAAGTCTTACTGGTTGCAACGGCTAAAGAATTCTACCCAGAATTAATATATGGTTACCAGACGTCCCCGTTTCCCAGGGACAGTCCCCAGATTTACAAATCAGTCCTCATACAAAATCCTTTGAAGTTGAAAAGTGTCCCCGGATTCATTGCAAAAAATCTGGGAACCTTAAATTAATAGTTACATGAAAATTTTATATATCTCATCAGAAATCAAAATTATGAAAACAAATAATCAAACTTAAACTGGCAGTTGACTGGTATTTCCCCAAAATTTCTTGCTTCCAGTATTGCTCCACTTCCGCCTATTCTGTTATTAAACCACAGCATCAATGTATATTACATGTATTCCAATGCAAAAGCTAACATTTTAAATAAAGCAAAGCGATTGTACACTCTCAAAAGCATGGGGAGATTTCTCTTTCATTAAATGGTTTTGTTCCTTTCACCTTGATAAATACCAGTACATACCAAGAGATCAACTCTGTGTGAATATAGTTTTAAATGTAATTAGCACTATTTAAGTCTTAAGTGTCTTGATACAAGGTATAAAGGATGAACATTTATTTACAAGGAACGTGATCAAAAAGATTTAACCATTATGTCCAAACACGTTAATCTGCTTTTATATGAAAAGTTAAATAGTATTTGCTTCATATCCCATTCACGAGTTCTTATTGCACTCTTTGTGTCGGCAATTTCTACCCAACCAAAGTTAAAAAGTGACTTTAACCAAATAGCTAAAAGTTGTCCCAGCTAACCATTAGCTTGGAGAGAGTTGTTGTGATTAACAACTCAGTCCAGTTTGCATATCAACGCTCTGGAAATATTACCGTATATTAAACTTATCAGCTGCAAATAGACATCAATATACTTTTTCTGTGCGACCCATTATTTTTCCCTCTGGACATTTGTATCTTAACTGTCATTTTAAAATATCATGTACAAAAATATTTCTCATTCCCAAACTGCCAAAGATAGTTAGTCATGCATCTTACAGTAAATAAAATAAACACAGAAAGAACCTCCTCTGCTTGAAAGAACATTTTTCTTTGTTTGATTAACTGACCAATGACAATCCTGTTCAGTTACTTTATTATGCAGAACTGCCATTTTATTTTCTGTACCATAAAGATGGTATAATGTTATTAACATGCATTTTGAGATGAAGTGGAGAGAGACACAGAGAGATGCAATTTTCAAAAGCAAACCTCAGCTACACAATTAAGAGTAAAACCCTTTTATAATGTTCATTTCTTTTTCTTTCTTGCACACTCAAACACTCAGGTTTTCATCTCTGAGAAGATATAAACTCACCACTGCCATTATACAAGACTTGCATTGTTTCAAACTCCAGACTAGTATAACTGGGATCTAAGACTTCTGTATAATTTGCCATTTCCATGTCCAGGACGGACTCAGAGATCCTCATCATTGAACATAAACCTTGAAAGTGACTACTTCTCCAGGAAAGAAGATGTGAACCACTCTGTTTTTCTGGCAATCAGTAATTGATAATCCAAGTGCTAACTCTTTACTATATCACTTATGTGTTGCAATGGGAGGAGTCATAAAACCAGCTAAGTGTGCCATGCTACGCCTTATATCATTCCCCTTTTTATGGGACACAATTAGCTTTTTCTTGCGATAATATTGGGACATTTCATGGGAGCCTTTAAATGAGAGTTCCAACTGGCTTGACTAAAATGCTTCCAGTTTTTCTTTAAAAACAAAACAAAACTGTCCCCCTCTTTTTTGTTGTTGCCTGACAACAGATTGTCTCTTACAGCACACAAATTATAGGACTTAAATTAATAGAAACTCCATAAAATGAGAGCCAGTTGGACAAGGCCCTGGGGAACCAGGGTTCAAATTCCTACGCAGCCAAGAAGCTCACTGGGTGACCCATGGGCCAGTCTTCATCTCTCAGCCTAAGACACCTCACAGCCTTGTTGGGATGAGAAAATGGGGACAGGGAAGAACTATGTGTGCCAGCTTCATTTCCTTGGAAGAAAGGCAAGATATAAAGGTAAACATAAATAAGTACAAGACTGCAGAGCAGAAAGACTTTTTCTAATTAAGCAGCTGTGATGATTACAGTCCTCCTTGCGTAGGCAAGAAAGAGGTTTGTGAATATTGTATGGTAAAGTTAGTTCCAGAGAGTGCAACATGGGTCACTACCTCATAATGAATCAGACCACGGGCCCATATAGCTTATCAGCACCGTGACAGACCTGGCAATGGCTTTGCAAAGTTTTAGATAGTTGTGTCCCCCAGAACTAGCTGAAAATGCCAGATTGGAAATGCTGTACCACTGAGATATGGGCCTTCCTCTAACTGAGGTGGAAATTGGCAAGCAAGAGATATAAAACTGGGGGGACCGGATCTTAATTTCACATATGGGGTCTGAACAGAGCGTGGCTGACTCAGAATGGGGCCATGGGATTGTACTGGATGGCTTGATGGAGATGCCAAGCCAGTGAACTGCAGTTGTGAAAAAAGGTAAATTCCATGCTAGGAATCATTAGAAAATAGACTGAGAATAAAACTGCCAACATAATAATACCTTTACACACACACACAAACAAACACACACACACACACACACACACACACACACACAATATGTTATTTATAGTCTGATCTTTAAAATATTTTATTATTGCGTCACAACACAGACTGTTAGATGTTTCTTTACTTATAGACTATTTTCTCTTTCAGAGATATGTATTTAAAATAATTATTCAAATAAAGCTACTATGAAGGCAATGCACTTTACACCTGTAAGCATGTGAAATGTCAAGGAAGAAAGTGGATGTTGCTCTTTCTGGCTTGACTGGCATGTGTCAGAAGTAATCCTGCAACTGAGATTGAAGATATATCTGACAAGAGTGGCTTTGAATAGTATATTGTCGTGATTTTGAAACAGTTCTTTTCCTCATAGCAAATACTTACTAAAATGCAAGCTAAAATGTAAAATGAAAACACGAACATATATTGTAAAGACAGAATTTCTCTAGATAATTTATCCTAGTCGGAAAAGCACTGGTACTTACCCACCTGGATGGAAATGTTAATTTTATTTTCATTAGCTTGGTTTATACGTATTTCTCTTAATGTGAAAAATAAGATGATTTCCTCATTGGGGGGGAATCATTTGGTGTATCTTGCTTTGAAATTTTAGAACTGTGGCTATAAAGGTAGTTCACAATATTTCACAGTGTATAGGTTGCAAACATAACAAGCGACGGCAGCAAGCCTCTTTAACTTGTGAACAGCATCTAAAGCATGTACTCTCTGCATAACTAGTCTCCACCACACACACAACTTACCACAAAAAATAAGTGAATGAGTTAAATATATGTGGCATGTTTGTGTGTTGGAATTTACCAACTTAGCCCTCCTAGAGATTCTGTTCAGGGGAAGGTTTTTGTAAACCACTTTGAGGTTTTTCCTGCACTCATGAGGTATATAAATTCTATTACATTAATAAA